GTAGAAAATAAAACTACGTGATTTTCACAACTTTAAGTTTCATGCTGTTGCAATCATCAGGTGAAATACAAATATAGTTTGTTCGTTTAAAAAATTATACACAATTGAAACTATACAGAAAAAACCTATACGGAAAAAACTTTTTTTTATTGTTACGACCGAGTATATTTAATCTTCAGGTTTGTGGTTGCTCAATAAAAATTTATTTTCGTGACGACACTTGGAGATTAACTCTATAGTTAATCTCCAAGTATATTTTATAGTTTTTTTATTGAGTAGCTCTTCAGCATTTTTATATAGCAAAATAATCAGTGTTTCATATAAACATAGTAAACATTTTTTTGTTTCATTGTTGTAGGCGGGGGCTTTTTTCAGGATAGACCAAGTTAATTCTAGTGTTTCTTTCAGTTTTTCTCTAGTTTCCCATATATGTTTTGAGAGAGTGGTTGCATTTGAAAGTTTCTTATTTGAAAATGATTGCTTGTGGTTTGCATACCTCTTTTTCCATACTCCTTCTGATAAACCAATGTATGCTTTGCTGGGAGTGTTTGGCGAACATGTTATACATTTGTAAATGATGTTTGTCGCTCTACTATTTTTATTCAGCGGGCAGATTTCTTTTTGCTTGCAATTGCAAGGGAGATTTTCAGTGGTGTTAATTAAACTTATTTTTTTGTTGTGGCTTTTTATAATTTTTGAAATGTCGTTTGAGCAGCTGTAGCTAACTTTTGTAGTGTTTCGATTGAATAGTTTATGTAATGGATTTGAAGGTGGGAAATGTTTATCTATTAATTGCAAAAAGATTTGGCCAACATTGGTGGAGACGCTTTTATTGTAGGGTGGGTTAAACCAAATTATATTTCTTTTTCTTTAGGGAGGTGTCTTTTTTTTTGGGTTGTAATTCAAGTTAAAGTTTTTAAAACCGTTTTGTTTAAGTGTTTCTTCGTATTCTGTTTTTGAAGTGTTAAATATTTTTTCATTGGAAGAATTTTGCGATAATGGATCATTAATGGAGAGAGGGATCTGCTTAAGAACTTGGGGTGGGTGGTTTAATTCAATGTGGATGTAGAGCAGTTGGTCATTTTGTTTTTTAAAAGGTTGGTAGGAGTTTTTTTGAAGATTAAAAGTTACATCAAGAAAGTTAACACTGTATAAATTGGTTTGAATCTTTATTTGAAATCCGATCTTTTTAAATATCTCAATTATATTTTTTCTGACTTTGTCTAACTGTGCGGTAGTTTTTTTGCGCATCATCATCAATCCGTCGTCTCGGTAAAGACCTATAAAGACCTGGATAAAGAGTCTAGAATGTATAAACCCACCAGTTCGCATACTTCGGCTCCATCAAAACAACCCATTGTGACATCAAAACAATCATTATACGTCTTTTTTATCCATGTTTCTTTTTTAAAAAATAAAAACGATTTTCTGCAATGATTTATGACTCGAATTTTTTCACTGCTGATTTCAGCATGCTGTTTTGCAAACATTAAAGCGCTGTTTAGTATGTCTTTTGTGATGGATGGGTAAAATTCATTGATGTCGAGTTGTATAAATACAGTGTTGCTTGTCCCTTATGTTTGTAAACCATTTGATTACTTCAGCAGTGTTTTTCCATTGGTTTAGTTTTAATTTATTTTTTAAGTCCTTGTTGATTTTATCTAGGTGTGTTTTGCTGACAACACCGAGTTCACTTTTTGCTGGATTTAATAAGCGGCAAGGTTTTTGATTTTCAAAGTTATTTTTGTGGTCTTTTAATGTAATGAATGCTTCTGATTTGGCAATTGTATTGATTTGTTTGTTTGTTTATATATATATATATATATATATATATATATATATATATATATATATATATATATATATATATATATATATATATATATATATATATATATATATTTTTATACATATTTTTATATATTTATATATATATATATATGTATAAATATATATATAAATATAAATATATATATATATATATATATATAAATATATATATATATATATATATATATATATATATATATATATATATATATATATATATATATACACACATATATATATAAAACAACCGCAATACTAATGACTAGAAAGTTTTTTTTAATGGTGTTTTTGTTGTCATTTTATTAAAATATATTTTTAAAACATGTGCGGAGCATTGCTACATTGACTATCTTATAGCCTGCTGCTACAAGGGAGTGTTGCTACATCAACTATCTTATAGCCTGCTGCTACAAGGGAGTGTTGCTACATCGACTATTTTATAGCCTGACTTGCAACGGAGTGCTGCTACATCGACTGACAAATAGCCTGACTCGCAAGGGAGTGCTGCTACATCGATTAAGGGTTTAGTTTGGGTTGGCAGTCTATCATTTGAGGAAAAAAAAAATTAAGTTTTTAAACTTTTTCTGATATATATATATATATATATATATATATATATATATATATATATATATATATATATATATATATATATATATATATGTAAACATATAATTACATATATAAACATAAAAAATAAATAACAAAAATTAAAACCTTGACAAACCATTGCTTCTGCATACAAATGTTTACTACGAGAAGATAGTTTGTCTATTGAAGTTGATTGAACATGATTTAGTGAGTCGATACAAAATTGATATTCACCAATAACATAATGATATTTTGCAATAAGTAAATGTGAATCAATAATCAACTGAGGCTAAAGAATAAAAAACCCAAATATTTATTAACATAAATAAACACACCATAACCATAACCAAAACCATAATAACTAAAACCAAAACAAAATTTTATTACCAATTTTGATTTTACTTTTTCTCCTTCATTAATTACTTGATCTAAATAAATTTTTGCTTGCTCAAGTTCTTCTTTTAAAATTTTTTTTTTAAATGGAAAGAAATGATGATCTATGAAGTCTTCTAGTTCAACTTCACCAAGATGAAATAAACGAAATAGATCAACTTCCTCTAATAAATAATAAAATACTAAATTTTATTTTTTCAAATAAAAAGAAACGCAGACTGAAAATGTTTAATAAGTCCATAAAATGTTCACACTTGGGTATTTTAAGAAAACATTTTCTTATATCTTAAACATAGGAAGTCTAAGATTGATTAAGCATCCCATATAAAAAAATTAATGAACATGTCAGAAAAAAAAAAAGATTCATCAAATTAAGGCTTTTAAGAGAATTTATAGCTTCATTAATATGTTGATTTAAAAACACAAAAACTAATAATGTCAGATCAGTATAAAGTAAAAGAAAAACCTTTCAATATTAAATCTTAAAAAAAATGATTAAAAAAATCTTCAAATCAAAATTATCATCTTTATAAGTGCTTTTTTACGTTTTCAATTTTTTACTTTTTTTAAACTAATATTTATTTACTTATTTTTATAATTATACTTAACATTACATTTTAAACACATTTTTAATATGAGGCCATCCATATTTTTTTAATTTTTTTTTTGTTATTCAACTCTCCAAGGCCGATAAGGCCACTACAGATGAGGAGGCTACTTGAGGTTATAACCCTCTCTCAGCTCTATAACTCGGAAACACGAACCCAAATGAACAAGACCGTTGCTTGGAGAAACAAGTTGAGCGCGGTACAAACAGAGACAAATTGAATAATAAATAAATGAAAGTTGAAAAAATTAAAATAAACTTCATGTTATTTCAAAATTAAAATAAACTTCATCTTCATGTTAACATTCTATAATTTAAGCATTTATTATATTAATTTGTTTTTTCAACATCCAAACCTTTTCTAATAGTTACAGAAATTGCTTAAGAATGCATACCATAAGCCTCAAACATTTTATTCCCTAAAACTAATTTTTTTGAACAGCTCAGTTTTGCTGAGCAAAATCAAGAAAAGGAGAAATTAGTATTTTAAAAAAATTTGAGAGTATTTTTTAAAAATTTAATACTTTTGGCATATAACCTTTTCAATATGATCAAATTAATACTAATTTATTCATATATATTTAAATTAATTTTGCTCAGCAAAATTAAGCTAAAAGTGAAATAAAATAAAAAAAAAATTCAAATACCTTTAGTCAATAACCCTGCTGTAGATTTAACATTAAATGACTGGATTAATGTTTTTACAGATTTCCACTGTCTTTCAACACGTGCTTTTTCAATTTCTTTCTCAGAAACTGACTTCTTATTCATACTATAATTTCTTCAAAATTTAGGAAAAATATGCTTAAAAAAATGTGTTCTAAAAAAAGTGTTTTTTAAAAAATGAAAACTTTGCACCAAAGACATGATAACTCATTTTTTTTCTATTTTGAAATTTAAGTAATTTTCACTATAATAAAGGTAACAGAAAACAACTGTTAAGTTGTGGACTAAAATTACCAAGATAATCATTAAAAAAATTCATGATATGTATTGAGTGAATTTAACATAATTCTAGTTTATTCAAATTCATAAAAAATAAGTTAACATGTTTATGCTGCTGGGTCTTCAAATGCTCTAAATTAAATGTGTTCTAAAAAAAAATGTTTTTAACAAAATTTTGAACAAAACTTAATGATACTAATATTTGGAAAGATTTAAAAAAAAATTTAATAAGTATCAGAATTTAATATAAAACATCTTTCTAATGTGACAGGGTGATTAAGACATTAAAAAAAAGAAAAACTTTTAATTCAAAGTTATTATAGGAATAAATACTTTATAAAATTTAAAAATAACAAAAAAATTAATAATGACATAAATAAAAAAAACTTTATCCTAACTAAATGTATTTTATAAAAAAAAATACTTTCAAACTTTCAACTTTTACTTTTAATGTTTCAACTTAAAGATCGTTTAAAAAAGATTTTAGATAAATATTACACTTGATATATATATAAAAAAAAAAAACAAGGTAAGTTGTACACATATATGTATATTATAAGTATTTTTAAAAAAAATCAAAATTGTTCCCTTACGAAATATTTTAAGGCAAAAATCTTCAAAGCACAGATAATACAAAAATAATTTAGAGCTTTGAAAAATTTAAAGTCAAAATACAAAACTTCATTTTTTTTCTTCATTTTTCAGAATGCAGGGATAAAGTTTCCAGCACCATATCCCTACTTATTTTCTGAAAATGAATCTAAAAGTAAGTAAATGTTATATTTATGAAACAAACAAAAAATATAGTTTAAAAAAGTTAAATATTTCATTTATCATAACCCAATCATTATTATCATTTTGTCCATTTAAAAAAGTCTAAAATATTTTTATAAAGTTTTTTCCACAACACCAGGAAGTTCGGTTGCAAAAGACGTTTTTAGTTTATTTTTAAATTTCTTTGGTATTGATTTTCTTCTATCCTTGTAACTATCATCTGGTTCAGTTAAGTTAAGTGACATATTGGACACGCTTTTTGCTAAATATAAAATAAAATTAATAAAAAACAGGTACCGGGTGGTACTAAATAAAAAATAAAAGGCAACATTAAGTAATACCACAATACTAAATAATCATGACACTACTTACGGAACTTGTTAAGATCTTTATTCTTTAATGTACTTCCTACTCGCTCACGGAAGGGATGTTCAGGTAAATCTAAAATTTTTAATACTGAATCATTTAGAGAAGTCTTGCGTGCAGGAAGGCTTAATGCTCGTGAAAAGCCATCTTGGATTTCTTGTTCTTCAAAAATAATTCCAGGTGAATAAATGTTTGCACAAAATTCTTCAAAAGAAGCAGGATGAACACGATTTTTTGAAATGTCACGAATGCAACGCGCACGTTCCTCAAAACTAAGTGATGAAGAGTAATAAAATTTATTAAACAAAAAAAAAATCAAAAGTACAAAATTATTACTTTCAAAAACCTACTGTTGATTGTATAATGGTATTGTTGTTCGCTTAGCTCTTCCAGCCGAAATCGCAGTGCTTCTTACTAATAAGGGAAGTAATTTTTCATCAATGATAGCACCATCAAACAAAGGTCCAAACGGCGGTATCTAAAAAAGAACAAATAAATAGTTCAAGATTTTGTTTAATTTAATGAAACATGTTATAATTGAAATTAATTTTGGAGTATGACGATCAAAACTAATTGTAACATATAACAATATTTCTTGTAACATGTAACAATTAAAATTTGTGGATAATATTAAAGGTAAAAAGAAGCAACCTTTTCTTTGCAATCAATTTGAATTCTATATAAACCATTTTTTAATGGATAAATAATAATTAAAACATCTCCAAATTCTGTGTTTATGATTCCTCTTCGAAAATCCCTATTGTGTTCACACCATATAATGTGAATTTCATCATTTCCAAGATGGCGTAACTAAACAGCAAAAAATAAATATCAGGGCTTAAAAATATACACATAACTTATAATTTCAAAAAATATATTATATACACTGTTGTTACATATAAAAATTAGCACTTTACTTAAGTTTGGTAATGATAAGAATATAAGTAAGAAATTTTATTTTTCATACAACCTAAAACATTTTTAAATTAATAAGCAAAAAAATAAAAAATATTATTTAATTTATGCTTGATATTACAGTGATGAACCCAGAGTTTATTACTTTATTTTTTTGGCAACATAGCGGGACAGGAATGTTTTAGAGGTGCTTGCCTGCTTCTTCCCTGTTAGTTTAATACAGTGCTGCGACCCTGATTTTTAAAAGGATTCCCAAGTGCCAAAACAAGTTATGTTTAATTTGTAAATAAACTCTTCTAATTTTTCTGAGCACCTATAAAAGTTGCTTTTTTTATTTTTGATAATTGGAGAGAGTTCCAAAGGGTTAAAGTACAGGGAAAAAAAACAAGACAAATAAAAGTTTTGATAGTATGCAGAGACAGATACAGTAAAAGAATGAGACTTAACTGAATGACGAGTCAAGTGAGAATGAGTTTTAGTTGATGGAACTAGAGATAATAGCTCCTTTGAGAAATGACTATGATAGTATTGTAGAAAAGAGAAAGAGATGCAACTTTATAATAAAAAAGAGGCTTAAGCTTAGCAGATAGAGCAGGTCCAACTACAATTACAATGGACCTTATCTAGAAGAGGAAGAGCATAATTAGAAGAACCAGCCCCCAATATGACAACATATTCCATACAGGGACAAATAAGAGATTTGTAGAGGTAGAGAAAAATTGCAAGCACAATAAAGAGAAGCAACCTTAGTAGATGCTAATTTAGCCAACAATTTTGCAACTTTGACAATTAAGCTACACTTTATTGTCGCCGAAAAGTCAAAACAGTTAAATTAATGCGGAAAAAAAAATTAATGCGGAAGAGAAAAGATGAAGATTGTAGAGCATGATAACCATTGACAGACGACTTAAAAGATTGCAAATTGTATGAATCAGGAAAGCAAGATGAAGGAAGCGAATTCAAAAGAACTGATGTTCGAGGAAAAAAACTAGACAAATAAGAGTCTTTGGAGCACTTAGGAACAGTAACAGAAAAAGGATTAGACTAAATTGAATGACGAGTAACACGAGAATGAATTTTAGTAGATGGCACAAGAGACATTTAGTAGACAAGCACAAGAGACAAGTACATTAAGTATTGAAAGTTTTTTTTAAGTAATAGTGTTTTTGTTTTATTAAAATGTATAAAATGTAGCACAATTTATGGAATCTAATATAGCTTGCACATAACACAAAATGTGCAATTATAAATTGCGCATTTCATGAAATGTGTGCTGTACTTTTTTACAATTTTTTAAATTAGTTTATGTTTAATATATTAAAATTTATTATTATGGGTATAACTGAAGTTATAAATGAACATTAAAAAACAATGAGTTGTTTAATAAATCAATTTCACTAATTGCAGTAACATAACCAACTATAGTTTTAATGAAATAATTAATACTTGTGTTTTGTTAATTTATATTTTAAATTAAAATGTTTTGTTTTTAGCAATCAAAATAAATATTTAGCATTTAAAATGAGTGAAGGGAGGTTTTTAGCAATATATCCAGACGGATTTTGAAACCAGTATACCTGTATATATAAAGGTATACCTAATTTTCTACTCAAACTTAACTTAAAACAATATTATAATAGCATCAAGTCATAAAAATTTAAAATAAAACAATTCTTTATTATATTATCTTGTTGTTTTATAATGATAAAATTTGTTATGATAATTACAAAAATGTTATTCAAATTGATTAGAAAAAACAACATTTTCCAAAGACATTAAAACCAGATTATAAATGTCTTTGAAACACAAATCAGAAATGCTTAATTCAAATTCATGTTTTTTTAATTTTTTTAAACATCTTTGCTTCCAACAAGGCTGCAAGTAACTACTATTGAAGTTGGAAGATACTTGAAGAGAAAAGATGAAGATCGTAGAGCAAGATAACGATTGACAGACGACTTAAAAGATTGCAAATTATATGAATCAGGAAAGCAAGATGAAGGAAGCGAATTCCAAAGAACTGATGTTCCAGGAAAAAAACTAGACAAATAAGAGCTTTTGGAGCACTTAGGAACAGTAACAGAAAAAGGATGAAACTAAATTGAATGACAACTAACATGAGAATAAATTTTAGTAGATGGCTTAAGAGACACTAGCTCTTTAGAGCAGTTGTATTATAGTATTTGTAGAAAAGAGAAAGAGAAGCAACATTACGACAATGTGATAATGGTTGGAGTTTGGCTGCAAGAGCATGTCCAAATATGTTTACAATGCGTTTTTGCACCTTGTCTTAAAAAGAAAGGGCATCATTAGAATATCTGCCCCACATATGGCAACAATATTCCATTAGAGATAGAGAATAGAATCCGGAGTAATAAAGTGATAAACAAGATAAAGAGATGCAACCTTAGCGAAAGCTAATTTTGCAATGAATTTGATATACAGTTTTCAAGAAAGATCAGAAGAGTTAATTTGAGACTAACTTGAGTTCAGCTGTCTCATCTTGTGATCTTTGTGTTGATTGTTATCTTCCTTTAATTTGTAAAGAATCCAAGACAAAGGGTAGATGACTCATGGAGTACATTACCGTTCATAAATATAGGAAGATCTAAATTATTGCAATAACAGTTGGCTGAAAAAAATAGAGTTTTATCTGAATTATAGTTCACCAGCCACTGTGATGTCAAAGATGTTACTTGAAGATAATACACCATAAGAAGAAAGCTTATGGAGAAGACCAGCATGCCAAACTTTATCAATAGCTTTAGAAATGTCAAGAGCGATGGCCTTGATCTCTCGACCTTTATCTAATGCACGATAAAACCTATCGGCTATTACTATTAGCAAATTAGCCGTAGAACGAGAAGATCAAAATCCATATTGATAATAAATCAATCATATATATTCTGAAAATAAATTTTCAAGGCTATTTACAAATAGTATTGAAATACTAATCTCAAGTAAATACCTAAAAAAATTAATTATATATATACAAAAACAAAAAAACAAAACAAACAACAAAAAAAAACTTAAGATTAAAAAAAATAATAATGATAATACACGGTAGAATTAAAAATATATAATAAATGGTTAAAATAAAAATAAAAACAAATAGTATATAACTGTATCAAAAATTTATATACCACTAAAAACAAACAAATGACTGACAAAAAACAACAAATAAAACTATATACGCTAAAAAATTGAAGAAAAATAAATAATACTAAGAAATATATGAAAGAAAACTAAAAACATGTTTGAAAAAATAAAAATCTTGATTTGCTGAACGAGGTTTCGCTCTTTAATAGTTTTTTTTTCATTCTTTGCCATTCTTTTTGTATATTTCATTCAGTACCGTTTTTTTTTAACTTCTATTTTCTTTACTTTTTTACTTATTTTCTATCAGATATTTGTTGTTCTTTTCTTCTTTTAAAAGATTTATTTATTCTTCTTTTTTGTCAATTTCATTTTTAGTTTAATTAATAAATGTTTTCTTTTCCTTTTTACTTTTTTCCTTTTAAAAAGTTATTTTCAACCGTTTGAAAAAAAAGTCCACCATTTGCGATGTCATTGCAATGCCCTAACTGAAACTAACTCAAAAAGTTATTAGATTCAAGATGAGAGATTTAGTGTTTGTTAATTAAAGATTTAAAAACCTTGCTTATGATAGGACTAATAATAAGACTAATGGGACAGTTGTTAAATAAATCAGATTGCTCTCCAGAATTTTTTAAAATAGGGATAACAGATGCTGCTTACCAGCAGGCTGGAAAACAAGACTCTGATTAACACTTGTTAAGTAGTTTTGAAAGTATAGACAACGACCCCAAAGAACACATCTGCAAAACTGTAATAGGTATGTTGTCTGGGCCACAAGCTATAGAAAATTCAAAGCAGGAAATCACTTTAGATACAGAAACTGAAGTGATACGAATGTCAAGCAATAGATCAACCTGTTGGACGTTATTGATGAAAAGTTCTTAGCAAACAATTCAGCTTTGTCTTTATAGATATTGCTATTTCCATATAGATATGGAAATAACAGTTTCGATTGGAAATGCTGAAGCACAATGTAAGGAAAACCATGGAGAAAAGAGGCGATTGACTTGGAATCATTGAGAAGGAATAAAAGAGTCTATGCCAGCCTTAATCCAAGAATTTACATAAGTAGCACATTTTTCAGCAGGAAGGAGAAAGATTTTTAACCAAGGGTCATCACAAAGAAAATTACAGAAAGGGTCCCAGTCAGCTTTAAAGTAGTTAGAAGAGGTACGATGAAGAATAGATATGACAGGGGGATTCATATGATAAAGAAGAATGAGATAATAGTTTTAAAGAGATCAAACCATGATCAGAAGCACCTAAGGGTAAATGTGGACAAAACTGAGCACTGACTAGGATCAGAAACAAGACATAAGTCAAGCAGAGAAGGTAAATGATTCGGGTTGTCTGGAAAACAAGTTGGAAAGTTAAATATTTGAGTTAGAGATTGAGAAAGGCAATACCAACTGCGGCTCTACCTAGAACCCAATCTAAAAAGTTAAATAAGAAACTTATTTTTCAGAAGGAAGATGAAAGATTTCTACCCAAGGGCCATCACAAAGAAAATTAAAGAGAGTGTCCCAGTCAGCTTTAAGATAGTTGTAAGAGGTACGATGAAAGGGGATACTGATGATAAAGAAAAATAAAATAATAGTTTTAGAAAGATCAAACCGTGATCAGAAGCACCTAAGGGTGAATTTGTAAAAACTGAGCACTGACTAAGATCAGAAACAAGACATAAGTCCAGTAGAGAAGGTAAATGATTCAAATTATCTAGAAAATGAGTAGAAAAGTTGACAAGTTAAAGACTAAGAAAGACAAAAATTGTGAGAATTAACACCTGCAGAGTCATTGACACTAGAACCAAGCCATTCAATGTGATGAACATTTAAGTCACTAAAAACAACAATATTGGCTGAAAAATAAAGAGAAGAGGCTTTGTCAATTTGATCAGAAATAACATCGAAAGTGCAGTCTTGAGATGTAGCAAAAGGTGATATAAATACAAAAAGAAAGCTGATAGAGTAAAGGGGTGCTAAACAAAAGCACATAAAAGAATATTCTGTGGATTCAAACCTAGTTTCTCTTAACATAAAAATCACAAGATGAGACAGTTGAACTCAAATTAGTCTCACAAAGAGCAATTAGGTCTGGTGAACTTTGCATTTACTTTTATTCACTAATATTCAATTTAGAGAACTTGTTGATGGTGATGGTTTTTTACGTTTTGATACTTTTGTCATTTTTTAAATTCTTTAAAGAACTTGACTCAAAGCACAGATAGTACTCAGTACATTATCTAATAGTCCAAGCAATTGCCTTATTACTATTAATAATCCCTAAGCCATAACAAAGGGCTATGAATGTGGCCGTGCGCAACATGGCACAGTTAGTACTCTGATATTTTACAGCTGTTGATGGAATCAGCTTCTCTGAGAGCTATCAAAGAGTTCAACAAACCTGACTAGCAGCTGGTCTCAGAACCATAAAACTGAGTTTTAGAGTTGTACCCTAATTAGTAGATAATAGAATGAGTTACCTAGTCATTAAAATAAAGACACATGGAAAACCCATGCAATGTCAAGAAGATTCAGCATTCAACATCCTGGAAACTGGAAGCAATGTATTATAAATAAATCTATGCTAGCCTAATGGATGAAGAAAGAATGAGAAGCTGATCAAAAGATAGAACTGCTTACCACTTAGATTAAATCTGTTTATCTCTTAGGAACTATACAAGAACTCTCTACTTTATAGTCTGGTTTAATCTTGGTTAATAGAAGACCTAGGCATTCTCAGCCACAAGGCTGGCAGAAAATAAGTCATCTGTACGGAGTGTAGGAATAAAATTTGTTAATAAAAATAAAGCCAAATAAATCTTTTTTTGGAACTAACCAAAAATTAGATTGGGTACAAAATTTTTCTAAAAGAAATTATCAGTCAAATTTAATCAGAAATCAAGTATTAAATTTCACATTCAGTACTTAAAAATGATAATCAAAATTCGTCAAAAACTATTAAAAAGTGAGAGGTTCACATTCTAGATAATTTTGACACTTATGAAAATCAAGAAATTGTGTTTGACTAATTTGCAGTTCTTCAGGAAAGCATCAAGATAGTTAATGTTTTCTATTCAAATTGTTATAAAATCATCCATCCAAATATTAATTTAAGGAATTTTGCTAATGAAAATATGGAAGAAGCTGCTAAAGTTATGATTAAGAAAACCAACAAAAAAACTAAATTGCTTATTGTGTAAATCTTTTTGCATCATCTTTAGATAGAGAAATTAAATGGAAAATGTAAAATTGGCAACAAAGGTTTTTTTGATTTTTGGCTAGAAAGAAACTACTTTGAAGGTGTTTCACTTGTAGGGTTAACAGCTAGTGAGGTGCCAACTGAAGTATAGAGTATCCAAACATTAGTACCTAAACTTTCTATTGGTCATGCCCAAAGTTTTAAAAGATGCTCTTGCAAATCTCATTGTGATAATTAAAAATGTACTTGTTTTAAAAATTTGTATGCCTGCAATTCTTCTTGATATTCAAGTAGTTTATGTGACAAAATTTGATGTTTCTTTTTTTAAATGGTTAATATAAACAAAACTATGTTTTATAGCTAGTTTTTCTTTATAATTTTGAAATTAATTTTTATTGCTATAAATAAAAATTTGAGTTTATTTATTTATATTGGAAGTTTTATATTTATTCAAATAATTTTTTTAATTTTTGTAACAGATATTAAAAAATAAAAAAACAAATTTTAAAAATATAAGATGCTAAAGATTTAAATTTAATATAGTCTTAAAATTTAGCAAAGAACTAGATGGCCAAACACTTAACAATTTAATTAAAATATTTTAAAATTGTCTGAGAAAAAGCCAAGTATGATGACTTTAAAATGATGTTTTTTCAATTTTAAAAATATTTTGTAGAAAAGCAATGAAGCTATAGGTTTAGTTAAAAAAAACTTTAATTCAATGGGGGAGGGGGAGGTAGATTTAGGTAGATGCAAGGGCCCAAGAATGATTAACCCACAAACCTCAAAACAGCATTTGTGGTCAAATATTCTGCATACATGGTTTAAAATATATATATACATATCTTTAGACAGACAGACCAAAAAAATTATTTTTTTTTGACTATTTTTTTGTTTTTTAAAAAAATCAGTCCACCTCATCTAAAACTCTTTTATCCTATCTAACTTCATATTATCTAGAAAAAAGAGTATGAAAATTTAATTATACAAATAAAAAAAACTGGGCACGTGCCTAGACCTCAGTGTCATTGGCCCTGAAAATAATTTTAATTCTTGTTAAGATTCGCAAATACTGAATGTAGCTGGTAGCTATATTCAGCAAACAGCTCAGAGCTGTAACTGGTCTCAAAAGTAGTGAAGTAGGTCTCTTTCTCTTTTCTACAAATACTATAATGGGCACTGCTCTAAAGAGCTAGCGTCCCTTGTGCCATCTACTAAAATTCATTGTCGTGTTACTCGCCATTCAATTAAGTCTCATCCTTTTTCTGTGACTGTTCCTAAGTGCTTCAAAAACTCTTATTCTTCTAGTTTTTTTCCTCGAACATCAGTTCTTTGGAATTCGCTTCCTTCATCTTGCTTTCCTGATTCATATAATTTGCAATCTTTTAAGTCATCAGTCAATCGTTATCTTGCTCTACAGATTTAGTCTTTTCTCTTCCAGTAACTTCCAACTCTTATAGTGGTTGCTTGCAGCCTTGTTGGAAGTGAAGATGTTAAAAAAAAAAAAAAAAAAAAAAAGTAGTGAAAAATCATTTGTGACAATAGACAAACAACACATGAAGTTGATTAAAAGGTTGTTAAAAAAAAAGTATAATGCGCAGTTCATAAAATGTGCAAACAATTGCATGTTCCATGAATTGTTGAGTGTCATCATACAGTTCACAGATTGAATAAAGGTTTGTCCATTTCATGAGCATGATTTCTTAAAAATGCTTTCTCATTAGGAGATAACAGGAAAAATCACATAGCCACTATCAAGAATAGTGTTACACGGTATTACAAAGAAGTAAAATCCAATAACTTATATAAATCAATTTCGACAATGAGTGACTAATGTTTTACAATTAAAATATTGCTTATCTCATTCTAGCCTAAGCTAAACAGCTTAACCAACCTACTAAGCTCAATGGCTTAACCAACCTAGTAAAATCAGTCATCATAATTATCAACATATAGAACACTATCTTTTCAACTATGAACTATAGAACACTACCTTTCCAACTATGAAACTAATAAAAAAACATTAATAATGCCAGCAAACCAACAATAATTAAAAAAAAAAGCTTATGTGCGCTATAGAATCATTTTTTATATCATATTTTATCATCATAAAAAATAAAAAGAATTTGGGATAAAAATATATTGAAAGTATTAAAATTACTTTTGTTTTCATTGAATCCTCATCACCACCAGGTATTCTAGTAGAAACATGAAAAATAATTTCAAGAGAGTGTGTTGCAAAATAAGGTGCAGTAACTCCAGTTGAAAGATTTTTTTCTAAACCTCCCATAAAACCTGTGTGATCAGCTAAGCTAATCTAAATGTTAAAAATTATTATATAATCAAATGAATAGCTGTAATCAAAAGTTGATTAAAATCATTACACTAAATTCCAACAAAAGAAAAGTATACCTCCCAACTCATTCCCCTTAAAAAGTCTTCGAACTTAGCACTGCCTTGAGAATTCAATAGTATCGAAGTTTTATCTTCTTGCCCTGGAGCAACATAGAAAACCGCAATTTTGTGTGTTTCACGACTATGAAAAAATTCTAAAAATTGCTATAATTTTAATCTTGAAAATCTTTAAAACACAAAATTGAAAAAAGTAAACAAATTTAAAAAGTAAACAAATTTAAAAAGTAAACATAAATTAACTCAAATTGTAAAAAAAAAAAAAAGTAGTTAAAAAAACACTTTACCAAAAGTTGGTAAATAAATATTAACTAACTTTAATATTTATTTACCAACTTTTTAAAGTAAATAAAATAATAAATTGTATAAAGCAATTAAATTTCTAAATAAAAATTGTGTAAAGTATTGAATGTATTTAATGTTGCTTATTTTATATTGATATTGTTTAATAATTGCACACTAGATAAAACATTAACAAAAATTCCATTAAAACTTGCACAACTCCTTTGACTGTTTAGTAAACAATGTGACACATAAAGCATCATAGATAAATTAAAATCTATAACTTGTTATTATAATTTAACTTATTATAATAACTAGGTACCCGAAGGCCTTACGGACTTATTAAGGCATATATATATAAATATATATATATATATATAAATATATATATATATATATATATATATATATATATATATATATACATATATATATATATATATATATATATATATATATATATATATATATATATATATATATATATATATATATATATATATATATATATATATATATATATATATATATATATATATATATATATATATATATATATATATATACATATATATATATATATATATATATATATATATATATATATATATATATATATATATATATATATATATATATACACATAAACAAACAAATATAAAAGCACATTCAAAAAATCAAATGATCAAATAAACTGAGACTTTAGGGATTTTTTTGAATAATTATTAAATAATCATTCTTATATTTGAAAATTTTATTTTACTTTCCAAAGCTTTTTATTTTTGAATGTTGCTTTTTTTCTAAATATAAACAAAAATGCAACTCTTTAAATGTAAGATTAAGTTTAGAAAAAAAAAAATTTTTCACACCTTGGTCGATTGTCAAGATTTTTAATATCTCTCAATAACTTCTCATTTCTTTCCAGAAGTTCAATACTTTTTCTATATTAATAAAATAAAAATACATCAACCAATAAAAATACATCAGCCAATAAAAATACATCAACCAATAAAAATAAATCAGCCAATAAAAATACATCAGTCAATAAACTAAACAACTATCATTAACTATCATAAACTAAATCAACTATCAAACTATCATTTGTTTTAACTGGAAACAAAAATCATTTCTATTAAATCTATCTATATTTTAAAAAAAATTACCTTTTATCAGATGTAAAATAACCTAATTGATGTAAAAGTACTTTTGAGAGATGGTATTCAGATGTTGGTTCATGAAAAGTAGGTGGCACAATTTCTGAAGCATTAATACTAAAAAAATTGTTTGTTTTAAATACTTGAAATATGTAGCAAAAATTATGGAATAAAAACTCAAGAAGATTTACCGATGATCATGAGCCACTTCATGGACATAATTTTCTTCTTCATTGTGCTGCTTTAAAACTGATGTCACAATCAAAGGTTGTATAGAGACATTTAATGGAACTGGTACAGGAGCTGGCATATTTAATGGCTGATCTGAGTAAAGCAAACATTCAGGACTTGAGTGCCCAATATAACGAAGCAGCTTTTAAATAAAGCATTTATATAGTTAAAAAACAATTTAAAACCTTTAAATAACTTTTAGAAGTTATTATCATAATATTTATATTTAATTCTTTATATAAGTTTAGAAAAAATAATAAACTTCAAATAAACAAACACTTCAAGTAATTTAGATAGAAAAAGCTACTTTAGAGTAAATCAAATAGTTTTTTGAAGAAAATATGTTTTAGCATATTACTTGGTCAACTCTATCTGTATTTATATCTACGGTTTCCCATGTTGGCAAAAGTGAAGAACTACTAGAAGGAAGTCTCATACCAGATATTGATAAATTTCTACTGTGTTTTCTGTCATTGCTATGTTTCTTATTCACATTAAAATCTATTAGGAAAATTTTAATTAGATTAGAAAAGATCACTACTCACTCAGTACACAAATTTTTAAATATATATATAAAAAAATTCTTTTTTTTTTTTTTTGCTTTAACTTTTCAATATTTAACTAAGCTTCTAAATATTAAATTAAAAAAATGGATAAAATAAAATAATAAAAATAATACAAAAACGAAATACCTTGTATTGAATGAATATCTGGCTCAACAAATTTAAATATATCTGTGACATCCCAACAATGTTTTCCAGTAGAATCGCGCAAAATAAATCTGCTTATTGTTTTTAACCCCTCAAGGTTAGTGTTTCGTTTAAAATATTCCTAAAATATCAAAAAATCTTATAACTAAAACTAAACTAAAAGTTCTAGCTCAATATGCCACTAATTTAAATTTTATTTGCTTACCACCTGTGGAAGTTCTATCAAAGTCAATAAAATTGTTCCATTTATTAACAAGTACTAAAACAATGAAAAGTTTATAACTAGTTAAATATATCTGTGACAATATAACAATATACTCAAGTGGAATCACAAAATAATAATATTAGAAATAGAATTATAATAGTAATATTTCCCAGTAGGATAACATAAAAAACAATATCTCACAGTAAAAATACAGAACAGCAAAATCTTTAAGTAGAATTACAGAATAACAATATTTCCCAGTAGAATCACAAAATAAATCTACTTGTCATTGTTTTTAGCACCTAAATGTCAGTGTTTTGTTTAAAAGACTACTTTTTCTTTTTAATCCCCTCCTAGGTTTTTCTTTTTGACCCATTCCGAGGTTTCATATAAAATATTCCTTAAATGTCATAAAATACTTCATAATCCATATATATATATATATATATATATATATATATATATATATATATATATATATATATATATATATATATATATATATATATATATATATATATATATATATATATATATATATATATATATATATACATATATATATATATATATATATATATATATATATATATATATATATATATAAATTAAGTAGCCTCCTCGACTGTAGTGGTCCCCTGGGGCCTTGGGGAAGTGAATAATTAAAATATATATATATACACACACACTAATATAGAACAATTTTTTTTTTAATTGCCAGTCATCAATGCTGACACTGTCTGAAGCTACTCAATGATAACATTATAGCTGTACAAGCTAACATTGAGAGATCAACATCTCATCATATCAAACAATTACAGCTCGAATTAACACAAAAAATCTACTAATAAAAATTTCAAATTTTTATTAGTATATACTTTTTAATTATTTTGAAGAAAAAATACTAATAACATCTACAACAACAAAAATAAATATACTTGAACATTTGTTGCTTCCAAAAGTTGATTTTCATCAATAACATGATCATCTGTCTCCACAATCAAACTGCTTGGTCGCACTGCACCAGTGTACAATGGGAAAAGATGGTAAAAATTTAACACCTGTGCTATGGCCTAGAGGATATATTGACATATTTTAAAACACTTATAAATATAACTCAGTAAAATTCATAAATATCTATTTTGTTTACATAATTTTGTACATAAAATTATAACAATATTTTTCACATTTCCTGATAAAAAATAAATTTTACATATTCTGCAGTCAACTTGACCATTCTGTTTTTTCTCTCATCTATTTCTATGCCGACAAAGCCTATTAAAATAAAAATAAAAAATAAAAAATAAAAATAAATAACTTCTTTTAGTATTTTTAGTTCCTCCTCTTAGTTTTGCCATAATATACACAACCACATGACCATTTTAGCTATACTTTAGGAATGTGCCAAACTTGAACATTTAATTTTGTAGTCTTTTCCAAACTTAGGCAAATGTTCAGTTAAAAATTATTACTACTTTTGATACCTAAAATGTCCTAAAATGTTTTGTCCTAAAATGTTTAAAGAAATGAACCAGCTATTTTGTCAAGGACATAAGTCTAATATCAAAAACATTTCAGAATTGCTAAAAATATTACTTATTATAAAAAAATGTCTCCATAGTCCTAAAGAAACTAAACATAGGAGTACATAAATAAAACATAGTTTTTTTGAGCTTTCTTTTTTTTTTTTTTTTTTTTTATTTGCATTCACTCCCAACAAGGCTGCAAGCAACCACTATTAAGTTGGGAGTTACTAGGAAAATAAAGAACAGAGTTATAGAGCAAGGAAATGGTTGACAGAAGACTTGAAAAGTTGAAGGTTGTATGAGTCAGGAAAACATGAAGATGGGAGAGAGTTCCAAAGGATTGAAGTGCAGGGAAAAAAACTAGATGAATAAAAGTTTTTAGAGCATGCAGGGAAAGATACAGTAAACGAATGAGACTTAGCTGAATGACGAGTAAAACGAGAATGAATTTTAGTTGATGGAACTAGAGATAATAACTCCTTTGAGCAGTGACCATGATAGTTTTTGTAGAAAAGAGAAAGAGATTCAACTTTACGACGATGGTAAAGAGGACGACTCAGTAAGAGGATAGCCATTCATTAATATAGGAATGTTGACCATATTTAGGTAGTTGTTTGCAGTAAGCAACTGGGTTGTTTTAGAGTTGAAATTCACAAGCCACTGTGAACCCCAATCTATTACTGAAGTGAGATCAGATTCAAGATCAGCTGCTTGTTCTAGGCGATCGAAAAGAGAAGACTTTTTGTCAAGACAGGAGTATAAAGTTGAGTCATCAGCAAAAAGAGCTACTTTAGATGAAAGGTTGTCAGGAAGATCGTTTATGTAGATAGGAAACAAAACAGGGCCCAGGATGGAACCTTGGGGAACCCCAGAAGTTACTGGAAATAAAGAAGAGTGTTGGCCTTCAAGGATGACTTTAATAAACCGGTTAGAAAGAAATGATATGATAATCTCAAAAACTTTCCCAGAAACACCATATGAAGCAAGCTTATGGAGAAGACCAGCATGCCAAACTTTGTCGAAAGCTTTAGATATGTCGAGAGCAATAGCCCTAGCCTCACCGCCTCCATCTAATGCACGATAAAATCTTTCAGTTACAGCAGTTAGCAAGTCGGCCGTAGAGCGAGAGGATCGAAAACCGTATTGATTGTCTGATAGTAGTTTATTTGACTCAAGATGAGGTGTGAGGAATTTGTTGATCAAAGACTCAAAGTCTTTGCTAATAACAGAAAGAAGACTGATCGGATGATAATTGGAGGGGTCAGAATTTTCTCCAGAGTTTTTGAATATTGGAACTAAAGATGCAATTTTCCAACAAGCAGGAAAACAAGACTCAGTCAAACACTTGTTAAATAGTTTAGAGAGAATTGAAGAAAGTTCTGGAGAACAATTCTGCAAGACTGTGACAGGAATGTTGTCTGGACCACAAGCTGTAGACGAGTTTAATTGAGATATGACTTTTGCAACAGAAGCCGGAGTGATTTGAATGTCTAACAATGGGTCAACCTGTTTGACTGGAATGGAAGGAAGAGAATGTCCATAAGATTCAAGAGTGGAATTAGAAGAAAAGTTCTTTGCAAATAGTTCTGCCTTATCCTTGGGAGAGGTAATAAGATCAGTCCCATGAATGAGAGATGGAATGTTAGATCTACCCTTGTTAATAATGCTGTTGAAGATTTTCCAAAAGTCTTTAGAGCCTAACTTCTGCGATAAGATGCGAGATTTAGTGAACTGAGAATAATGGAGTTTAGCATCAGAAAGCACCTTTTTACATCGATTTCTTGCAATAATAAATAGCTGTTTGTTCTCAAGAGAATTGTTCTTTTGAAAAAGTTGAAAAAAATGATTACGATTGGATATAGCAGCCGCACAAGAAGGAGAAAACCATGGAGTAGAATGAGGCTTGACTTGAAACCGACGCGAAGGAATAAAAGCTTCCATTCCAGCCTGAATCCAGGAGGTTACGTAGGAGACGCATTTGTCAGCTGAGAGAGAAAAAACATCAGCCCAAGGACCATCACGAAGAAAATCACGAAAGGAATCCCAGTCAGCTTTAGAGTAGTAGTAGGTGGTGCGATGATAAGGTGAGCCCAAAAAAGAAGTACGAGAAGAAAGATTTATAGAGATCATTGCATGGTCAGAACCACCTAAGGAAGAAAAGGGAGAAACTGAACATAAGCTAGGGTCAGAGACAAGACATAGGTCAAGGAGTGAAGGTAAATGATTAGGGTTGTCAGGAAAACGAGTCACAAAGTCAACTATCTGAGTAAGAGATTGAGAAACGCAGAAGTTAAAGGCTTTAGTGCCAGCAGAATCAGTGGTGTTAGAGCAAAGCCATTCAGTGTGATGGGCATTAAAATCACCAACAACAACAATATTGGCAGAGGGGTAAAGAGAGAGGGCATGGTCAATTTGATCAGAGATAACATCTAAAAGAGTGCAATCATGGGAAGAAGGAGAACGATAAAGAACAAAGAGAAAGGTGATAGAGTGAAGAGGTGCTAGGCGAAAGCACATAAAAGAATGGTCAAAGGATTCGAACCTGATTTCACGACAAATAGGGGAATTAATGCGTATGTATACCCCTAAACCTAGCATGTGACTATTGGAGTCTTTATGAATCAAAGGATATACCCATCAACACTGACATCTGAAGAAGGAATTGCAGAACTTAAATTTGTTTCACTGAGTGCAAGCAAGTCTGGTGAATTTTGCAGGAGGTAAGACTCAACTGACGGAAAGTTGCTTCGTAGACCGCGAATATTTGTAAAAGATATACTAAAATATTTAGGTGGTGGGGATGGTTTTTTAGGTTTTAAATTTTTGGTTACTTTGGTCATGATTTGGGTTTAATGAGATCTTGACTCATTCATAGATAGAGCACAGCCTCCTAATCAATGAGCTATGCAGTTGTCTCAGTCCTGTTAATTAACCCTAAGCCGTGACATAGGGCTCCTTATGTGGCCTTGACAATGCACACCAAAAGCATTAACAGGGACACCATCCATGCGCAACATGGCACTGTTAATACTCTGATATTTTGCAGCTGTTGATGGAATCAGCCTCTCTGAGAGCTATCACAGAGTTCGGGAAACCTTACTACCAGCCGGCCTCAGAACCATTAAACTGAGTTTTAGAGCTGTACCCTCATATGGAGATAACAGGAAGAGTTGCATAGCCATTATCAAGGAGGCATAAGCAAAATTCTATGAGTAGAGTCAAGGAGATCCAGCATTCATCATCCTAGGCAGGAAACAATGTAACACAGGTTACATCTATGCCAGCCTAATAGATGAAGAAGGGGTTCGAGGCTGGTTAGCAGAATTTTTCTGCTTATATATATATAATCCTAGTACATAAATTAATTTTATAAGAATGAACTAAGCTTAGCGCAGACTGTGTTGGTAGTGAATAGCAGACTGTGTTGGTAAACTTTGATATCATTGGAGATACAATTACACCATTTGCACACATACAAAAAAAGAAACAAATCAGCTCTCCAGCATTGATTTATCTTTTTCAGAAGTAACACTTTTTTAAAATAGTTAGTAAAAAAAAAGTATTATAATATGTCTAATTTTATTTACTTTGATTTGTAATAGGACACAAAAAAAAACACATTTCTATTAGAATAAATAATTAAAAATTTATTCAAATTTAATGAACAATTTTCTAGTTATATTTTTTTTAAAATTAATAATAAATAAAAAGTTAAAATAATTACTTGTGTCAGTTTCATTTGATAAATCCTGAAAATCATTATGAACACATTCTATTTGAATAGGATGATTTTCACCCCTAAAAATTTGATTAATGTTGATTGGTTTACGTTCAGAGTAATGGCTTTCATGTTCCTTCTTTTTGCAACACTCACTAAATGCCTTAAGAGTCAACAAAAAAAAAAAATTAAATCAAATTTTTTAAAAACATAGACTATGAGATTTTACAATTTATTATACTTTTAAAACACATGCAATTTTAAAAATAAAACATACTTTCATAGCAAAATCAAAGTAAGAAAGTGCACCATCAACATGCAAATGACATTTTAGAACATCTTCTTGAGGTATAACCATCAACCATTCAAGCAAACATAACACAAGTTTACTAAGAAACTAAAAGTTGAAAGTTGAATAATTCGTATCAATTATTTTTATTCTATTATGTTTATGTATATAAGGATATTTTTATTTAAAAGTTTTGTTTAAATTTTAAATTATATTTCTAATTTACATGCAAAAGTTCCACTCCTCTTCATAAAAAAAGCTTCTTAAAACACAAAAAACTCTATCAATAAAAAACCTGTTGCAACAAATATTTAAATACTTGAATACATTTAGCCAGGTGCTTGTTAATCAAAAAATATAAAAGCAAAATTTTCAAAATAAACTTCGAGTAGGTACTTGGTTCTTTTGTCAAAAACAAATGCACTTTTATGTAACTAGACATTAATAATTTTTACTCCTCAATTACAACATAAATAAAGACATGGTTGGTAAAAAAAAACCTTATTCAAAATTAAAAATCTAACAACATGCAACTGCGCTCTATAAAGATTTATCCATTTTCACTAACCTAACTTGGTCGTTTATTTTTTTATTGTTTGTTGAACTGTACTTTTTATTTTATGTGTTGAAAAACAGTACAGTATATATTTATATTTCATAATTAAATGGTTCTTAAAATCATTTATCCTACTCCATGTATAATAAAAAGCTTCTTTAAACTATATTTCTATATAGTTTAAAGAAAAGTAATATAAAATGTATGTATGTATCCCAAAAGTAATAAAAATGAATCTTAGGTTGTCACTAAAAATCAGAAAACTTTGAAAAATTGCACCTAAATGGAAAACTTTGATTCAAATCTACTACCACTATTGTCCAATCACGCCAAAATTTTGCCCACTATAGCAAAAAAAAGCCAGACTCATTTACTCAAAAATTTAACAATTATGGGGCAGATAAATTACCTTATTATATATTGCAAAAAATTATAAACTTTCCCACAAACCATTTTTATCTTAAAAGATTGACACCTAAAGTCTGGTTATTTTACCTTGGATACCTTAAGTCTGGTTATTTTACCTTGGTCACCTAAAGTCTGGTTATTTTACCTTGGGTACCTAAAGTCTGGATATTTTATCATAAGTACCTAAATTCAGTTTTATACTAAGAAAACAATTTCATAAAGTTGGGGTGAAAATGGTCTTCTGCTTTCATAATTCCTTACTTGATATACTAAAGCAATAAATCAAAACTACCTTTAAGTAGTCTTTAAGAGTGAACCAATTGTACATGTAATATTAGTGAAACTAAATTAGTGGTAAGTGTTACATTAGTGAAGTGAAAAAAGATTTCTACACAAATCCAAGAACTTTAAAAGAATGTTACTAAAGCCAACTGAGTTGCATCTGGAATAGTGAAACATACACAACATTGTGATGGAAATACAAACTGGAAAAATTCTGAAACGGTTTGCATTATTTCCACACAAAAAAAGATTTAAAAAAAAAATACAGTAAAATAATTTCTGAGGCCATTGAAATACAATGTTTGTAATGCCTAAAATCTAATAAAAATATTTTTAAATAAGTTAGTTACACACAAAATGTGTATTGTGTGTTGACAAGAAAAAGTAAGAAAAAGAGTTTGAAAAGTAATATAAATAATAGGAGAATATTTGTATTTAACATGCAGAATAAAAATATATATATTATTTAATTCAGAATACACAATATAAAGAGAAACAAGGTATCGTTAAAATTCAACATAACCAAATAAAAAACAAAGTTTTTCATATATTTTTTTAAAATCTAATCAAAATAAAGTTCATTTAAAGATTAAGTCTTTGTTATTGAAGATAAAATCCTTTATTTTCAATAATTGTTAAATTACCTCTGGTGAGCATTTAGATACTTCCAGCGAAGGTGCTTCTAAATAATGATGTATAACTTGGGATACACCCTATAAAGAAATTTAAAAAAATTTTTTTTTAAATAATTATAAATATACAGAAATTAACTTTTTAAAGAAATAATTTTATTTTACACAATCATTGTGTTGTATACATGATTTTATATTGTGTTATAAATGATTTTGTAAATTTAATTACATCAATATCATAAATAAATAAGAGTTTAGGCAAAGCATAGAAATGCGTGAAAATATTGTTTTTAAATATTTTTTGCTATATTAAAAAAAAAAAACTTAAATTAAAAAAGCCTTTTAAATAATTTAAATGAATTAGGCTACATTAAAAGTTTATAGGCTGGTTTGTAGAGATCTTTTTTTTATGATTCTAGGGGCCAAAGTTCAAACCGAATAGATCCAGACCTCTGTGACTTGGTTTGCTTTTTACACTTGTTGTTAAAACTACAATCTAAATATAATCAGTTTTAAATTATTTTAAATATGAATAGTTTTTAAAATGTTTAAAGTTCAGAAGGAATATCAAAAATATTTAAAATTTTTCTAATTTAAAAAAATTAAATCAAAGAAGTGATTTTAAGTCTTACAGAAATGGATTTGGTTTCAATCCCATTATTAACATTTTTTTATTCAATCTGCAATGACTGAAAAAGGTCACATTTTCGAAAAACCAACAATAAACATTCCAGTTGGTAAAAAGGTTTGCAGATAGCATGAGGTACCTTTAAAAACAACTTAAACAGTGTTCCAATTAGAAAGTATTTTTTAGTATATATAAATGACTCAATTTTCTTAAGTTAAAAAAGTTGCAGCATTGTCACTAAAAAAGTAGCAAAATTTTGTTTGAAAATTTGACAGTGTTGTCTACACAGTTGAAGCTTGGGATTGCAATCCCGTGGGATCCCACATTATTTTAGCACATGCAACATCCCGCAAAAACAACTGCAGGATTCGAAGGAGTTGTGGGATTCGCAGGATTGCTGAGTTTTGAAACTATTGCTTTTAAATAAATAAAAAAAAAAAGCAATTCTTTAAACAGAAAAGATGAAAAAGATTGAAAAAGATCAAATTAAAGTATTTAATGTATTTGCATAACAAATCCATTTAAAAGTTTACTAGTCATAAAGTGCACAATGAAATGTATACTGAGAAACTTGTTCAAATTTTTTTTGTTTTGTTTATGAGTATGTTGAAATTTTTGCTAATGAGTATGTTGAAATTTTTGTTGATGAGTATGCTGAAACCGAGAAATTGAAAACATGAGTGCCTAACAAAAAATATAGCGCACTACTTTTTAAAAAGACTTCAAAAATTATTTACATTAAGATTTTAAAACTAAAGTACCTACTAAGCATGTTGCAAATTAAAACTATATGGAATTATTTTTAAAAAAATGATAAAGAAAAAATTGCAATGTACATGTTATGTTCGGCTGTTTTAAAAATTAGTCAAAGATCAACAATAGGGTTATTAATCCATTTAAAAACTAAACATGGCACCGATTTAAAAACTTCAAAACAGCATGAATTAGTTGAACTAGTCAGAGATTTCTTTCATATGTATATGTATATTCATATGAAAGAATGTATATTCAAGTTAAGGTTACTTAACTTGAATATACATTCATGACCACTGATGAGACAAGTGTGATGGTGAAAGTCGGTAAAATGATGTCTTGCTATCATCAACTATGTTATGCTCATGGAATACAACTTGCAGTTATTGATACCTTATACAAGAAAAACAACGGAGAAGTCCAAGAATTGTTTACTACAAATGAAAATTGCGAAGAATAAGATGAACATGAGAACACTGATGATGATGAAGTTATATATAAAGAATATGGTTTGACAATAATTTTGGACTGACCATCTTCTGAATTGGTTAGCAATTACAAAGATCTCATAAAAAAAGTGAGAAAAGTTGTGAAAATATTTAAAAACTTTTCTGTCAAAAATGATACATATTTACAGAAGTAAATATGTATCATTTTTGACAGAAGAGTTTTTAAATATCAACTTAATCAAGTATCAACTTAAGCTTTTTGCCGTGTTCATGTAGGATACTACATGAACACGGCAAAAAGCTTAAGTTGATACTTGACTGTAAAACTAAGTGGAACAGTATGTTTAATAGGTTAGAAAGATTTCATAGACTAAAAGTATGTATTGAAAAAGCCTTAATTGATGTTGGGTCAGAAATTCGTTTCACTTAAGAAGAATGGTCCCAAATCAATGACTTAATTTTTTGCCTGGCACCACTAAAACTTGGTCTCAAACTATTATGCAAGAGAGAATAGAACCTCGTCACTGTGGAAACAAATTTTCAATTTATGTTAGATAAATTACAAAAGCAATTATCACTTTTGAGCATTGATTTAGCAACAGCACTTCAAGAGAGGTTTACACAACAACGTAATAAGAATTTAAATGGACTACTGGTTTACTTACAAAATCCTAAAAAATACAAACAAGCAATTAAAATAAATGAAAATTTAATTATTTTTTAATGCTAAAGAGAACCGTTATGCGTCAAGAAATAAAAAAAACATTGATAAGAGTTTATACAGTTGAAAGAAATAAAGACAAAGAAAATGAACTCAAAGAAAAAGAAGCTGTAGATTCTATTAACAATTCCCAAATACTTACTCCTGCAATTCTATTGCTGAAAAAAGAAATGGAAAATCATATACAGAAAGACAAGAAAAAATGGACAGAAAATGTAAAGGAGATACCAAAGTTAGATTCATTAAACTTTGATAAATTATTGAAGCAGGAAATGTCTGCCTATGAAAGTAACAGAGTAAGAGGCAAGTTTCTAGACATAGCTCATAATTACTTGATGACCATATCACCAATAAGTGTACAGACCGAGCAAGCTTTTTCAGCTGTTGTCAGCTGTTATCAGTCCTTTAAGGAGTAGATTATGTGATGATACTTTAAGTAGGGTCTGTTTTTTAAGAGCCCATTTCTTACAATGATTTTCTCATATTTTATATTTTTAAAAATAAGTAAAGCTAAAAGACGCTCTACATAAAGCTAAAAGATATTTTACGTATTTTTATCTAAGTGTGTGGGATTGCAGTTCTGTTGAAGCTTCCTGGTAGTAAATGACTGGGGCTGTTATTTGACCTGGGCCAAAGCTGGATTTATGGCTGGGACTGCTTAAATATTGGTACATATTGATATGATATATAAAAACAAGTCAATATGCACCAATGTTTATGCAGTACCGTCTGTAGAACCGGCCTTGGCCACAGTCAAATACCAGTCCCGGTTGTTTACTACTTCCTGGATGTGATCTTTGTGTGACTAGTTTTAACTAAATACCAACAAATAATTTAAGCAGCTCAAGAAGTGCTGCAAGAGCCTTTCCAAAAATGCTACTCTGAAATACAAACAAAATATGTCAACTTGTACGCATTTTGATTACGTCAAATCAGCACATGTCATTTTATACTTTTGATTCTGCTATTTTCATATATGTTAAAAAGAATATTTGAAAAACCTGAAAAAATTTCAATATCTAACTCACAACCAATAGGAACTGTTATATAAAAATACTCAAAATATCTTATTATTAAATGTTGAATGAAATGTTGGTATAAGTCAATAATTCATAAAAAAAAATGCAAAAAAATACATGCATAACAATAATTTTTTAATTTTCACGAACGTCAGACAATTGTTGTTTCTCAAAAAGCCACTACTGGCTGGCCACTATTGGCTAGCTGAGTATTGAAAGCAGAATCCCAGCCAAAAAAAAAAAAAAAAAACTGTGGAGTTTTTCAATACAACTTTATAATACAATTAAACAGTTCATACAAAATGCATTCATACATTCTTTGCCTAAATAATCAATCAATCAATCAATCAATCATATATATTCTGAAAATAAATTTTCAAGGCTATTTACAAATAGTATTGAAATACTAATCTCAAGTAAATACCTAAAAAAAATAATTTATATATATACAATTAATCTTAATAATAATAATAGCAATAATAATAATAATAATAATAATAATAATAATAACAATAGCAATAAAGTAATTATAATAATTTAAATAATCGGTATTTTCCCTACAGCAATCATTTTTACATGCAAAGTTACAGTTACAAACAGTAATAAACTGACAAAACGTAACAACTAACGATGACATAAAAACGACTACTACTAAAAAAAAATTAAAGATTTAGTAAATATATTAATATAATCATAGTTGTAAAAATATAATAATCAAAATATATTGCAAATATTATGACTAAATAAATAGATATAATATAAACAGAAAAACACTGAGAAAATCAAAACAAAACAAGTTTACAACAATCATTACGAAACAAAACAAAAAACTATGCAAAATAAACAAAACAAACAACAACAACAAAAAAACTTAAAATTAAAAAATAATAAGAAATTTTAAATTTTAATATACATATAAATTTTAATATGGTAAAAATCTGCTAAAGGATTTTAAAATGCAGACACAAAAATAAATTTATTTTTTTACAACACTAGAGAAATATTTCTTTTCCGCAAATGTTTTGTTTCTCACTCCATTATTTATAAAACTTGTCTGCGTGTGTGTGTTTGTATTTTATTACTAATATTTTATATAAACTTAAATTCCTATACACAACTTAATAATGTTATGAAGTTAATTTTTTTTTTTTACAATATAACATATTGTAAAACAACTTTTTTTATCACCAATCTAAATATTATTATTTGATAACCTATAAGGTTATCAAATAATAATATTTAGATGCCTTTGTTTAGACATAAGGTTCTAAAAGTAATTGTTTGATTTACATTTTTGATTACATTACATATGACTGAAGATATGACTACAAAATAGATTTTTTCTTGCCAAAAAATAAATTCAAAAATAAACCTGATTAATCTGTTTAGTAGTAATTGATCTATTAGCTATTTAATCAATCTATTAGTTTACTAAATTAAGTTTTTAAAATGAAGTTAATAGTTTTTAAATCTATTCAACATCACTAAAAGTAATGATGTTGTAAGTAAAAAATTTTATTCTGAAAATTTTAATAAAATAAACTAATAAATACAACCAATTAAGAAATAAAAATAATTATTTGCTTACTATATATATTTTATGAACTTAAAGTTTTCAATTCATTATACTTTTTATTTATGTATTATATTTTATTTTTCACATATTAAACTTCATATATCATATAATATTTACATATATTTTAATAAGAAACATTTTTTACAATTAAAAAAAATTAAAAAAAAAATACCATAACAATTTTCAGTGGCAATGTAGTATCAAACATATTCATTTCTTTATAGTAGAATGTCAAAGAAAACAATACATCTAGAGCAACCATAGACACAACATGATTGTGAAACTAATAATAAAAATTAAAAAAAAATTTTAAAAATTAAAAAAAATAATAATAATAACTTTATGAAACAATAAGTAAACTTTTTTACTTATTGTTTCATAAAGTTTAAATTAAATAATAATTGGGAAATTGTGTTAACTATGTAAGCTATGGTTGCCAAATAAAAACTTATACACGCTCAATTTTATTTTAGGCACCAAAATATAGCATTTATACGTGGTGGTCTAACTTTTTTCCAAAAATTTTTTACAAAAAACCTTTGACAAAAATAATAACAGCTACATTACTTTAAAATAAAACATACCACCAATATACTGACTAGAAGTGCAATGCAATCATGTACTAGAGTGTGGCCACCCAAATGGATCAATGAATCAATAACAAGTACTCCAAGACAACAAAGAGCAACACATCTAAAAAATTGAAACCATTAACATTTTTTGACTATTTAATTTGACTTTTGAAACAAACATTCAATGTTTATTTCAAAAGGTTAAATAAGAAAAAAGAGAAAGTTATGAGGAGGAAATAGTTGTGCAAAGGAAAAAAGAGACATATGGTCATGCATAGGGAGCAAGAGATTAAAAATCATTTTTAGAAACAAAGAGATTTAAAGTTATGTGAAAGTGATAATGTATTTAAAATCATCAACTAAATATCATTACCTTGTTTTACAAGAAGGATCACACTTAGCAGCTTTAATCATTGGAGCCAATATCATTTCCTATTTACAAAAATTATTTCTTTTTCACAAAAAGTTAACTTTACCAATTATTATAAAATTCATGAACAAATAAAATTACAAAAGTAACTTATGCAACTTTTGTTATAAAAGTGTCATACACATATAAATGTCATATATATAAATGTGTGTCATATACATATAAACATCATATATACAAGTGCGTGTCAAATACATATACAAATCATATATATAAGTGTAAGTGTCAATTACATATATATGTCATATATATAAGTAAGTGTAATACATATATATATATACACACACACACACACACACACATATACACACACATATACATATATATGTCATATATGTAAGTAAGTGTTATGCATATATATGTCATATATATATAAGTAAGTGTTATACACATATATGTCATATATGAGTGTAAGTGTCAACATATTTCTCACTCTAATTTCTTTCCCAAGCACTAAAATTTTTAGCTCAGAAGTTACACCAGGCTGATAAATTTTCATTTCAGGGAACATAGACGAAAAACATATTAAAGAACCAAGTATTGTAATTGCTTCATGGTGTGGAAACTAAAAACAAACACTATATTATAAAATCTATAAGTTTTACTATATAAAATTTATAAATTTTTAACAACATAAAAAATTAAGTGAAGCAACATACATTCATGGATTGTGTATATAAAACTGAACTACAAGCAGTAATAAAATCTGGTATTAGACATGATATGCCATCAATCGGCAATGAAAAAATAGTTGCACATTCGCCAACAATCGCATTAATAAAATCCTGGCAAATAATTAAAAATTTAAACACAAATATAAAATATTGTGTCAAGCAAAAATATTTTCAAAAATAAAATATTACCTGATCAAATGATGTTAAACCAGTATGAATGGTTTGAAAAAAATAAAGAAGTTGATCAACTGATGGTTTTAAACCATGACTTTTAACTATCATCTTACAAGCAAGTTTATAAGCTAAAACAACTCCTGATTTATGGGTGGTATTCCCAGAACAAGCTGCCTAAATAGTATTAACAGTCATTTTTAATTGTTAATATTTAAGCTTTTGTTTGTACTTTTAAATGTTTTATATATTTTTAAAGCATTATTGTAAAAAATAAATATATAAAATTATAATTAAATTTAAAAAGAAATTAAATTCTGAAAATAATCATATTTTTTTATCTATAGCCAAATTTCAGAGTAATATATAAAAATATATATAACAAAGTGATAAATATTTTTGTACTCACTTGAAAGCACCACGTTGAGCAAAAAAATAATGGTGGTGTTAACTTTGGTGGAGGAGGTGTTTTTTTATTATCAATGCTGATTCCTTGATTACGCTTCACCTATCAACAAAGCATAAAAATAAAAGTGAATAATTTGTATTGCACATGACTTGAATGGTTTACCATCATATATCATAAAACCAATAAGTATTGATCAATTTAGACTTTTCCTGTTATTGTTATTAAAACCACTATTGTTATTTTTATTAAAACCAATTTTTAGAAATTTAAATATTCTCAAATTCAGCATTACTCAAGTAGATCTTGGAATATAAATTGAAAACATTTACCCCTAAATAAAAATAAACATTCCCCTAAGTAATATCATAATTCACAACTTCATTACTTATCAAATGATATGTTAAAGTAAATCTTTTCCCAGAAATGGCTTTTGAAACAATTTAAATATTGCTTTATAAGAAAAACTTTGAAAACGCTTCCTTAGTTTTGGGTGAAACTAAACCCAATTAACACTGACATCAATAAACTTTAATAAATGACATCCAAATGACACATCAATAAACTTTAATAAATGACATCCAAATGACACATCAATAAACTTTAATAAATGACATCTAAATGACACATCAATAAACTTTAATAAATGACATCCAAATGACACATCAATAAACTTTAATAAATGACATCCAAATGACACATCAATAAACTTTAATAAATGACATCCAAATGACACATCAATAAACTTTAATAAATGACATCCAAATGACACATCAATAAACTTTAATAAATGACATCCAAATGACACATCAATAAACTTTAATAAATGACATCCAAATGACACATCAATAAACTTTAATAAATGACATCCAAATGACACATAAGTAAACTTTAATGATTTAATATTTGTGAACTCCAAAATTGTGATTCCAATAAGATATTTAATACATCAAAAAATAAGTTTATGAAAAAATTTTATTTGATAATTATTATGCTTGCACTTGCTACTATTACTACACTTGATTAGGGGCAAAATATATGGTTCCTAAAATTTCATAAAAAAAAGCATGAAATTCAACAGTATATTTTAACTAATCAACAATAAAGTTGAAAAAAAAAGGAAAAACAAGTTGACAGGAATTATACAAATCAGTAAAAAAGTTTATAAACAAAATGCATGTACTAAAACTAATATCTAAAAATACTTTTGAACAAAGCAAGAGAAGGGAATAAGGAAAGAGAGGAATAAGGAAAAAGGCCTAAAACATCAACTACTCATAAAACTATTAAAATGAAAAAAATAAAAATACCTTTTTCAAAAATTATATACATTTTAGTTTTCAATTTAAAGAAATGCTGATCAAATTTACATTATTTTATATTTGATTTTTTATAAAATACTTATGTTTTTTCTGTGTTTGTCATTAAGAAAACTGATACCTAATTTTTACCATTTAAAGTATCATGGTGTTTAGCATCATCAAGAAATCTTATTTAAAGAAATTAAAACAGCAGTAACTTGTAACAAGTGTAATCTCTCTCTCTTTCATTTTACTTTTCTTATCTTATAACAAAAGGCAAGACCTCTTTCATTTTTCTTTTCTTATAACAAAAGATATTCAAAAAAATATATAAATGAAAGTAAAATTTATTTTTATTTGACTTTATTAATTCAAAATATTTGGAAGAAAGATAGATAACTATAGCATCAAAATTTTTAAAATTCTTTTAAATTACTGTTAAATAAGGTTTTTACATTAATTACATTTGACATAAAAAACTGACCTTTAAAAGTTAATGCATAACATAACAACATAATTTTCAAAAAATATTAATCCTAAGTCACATTTTGGTGTTTTTAACCATGATTAAATGCAAGCAACCACAAACATTTAAATGAAATTCAAGAAACTTTATTAAAATACCCACTTTTATGAACCACAGGGTGTCTGCCAATATTTTAAGATAATTTTCCCTGACTCTCAACCTGTTTTTTGTAACTTAACTTAAAGCAACGAAAACTCAACTTTGCTTGAAAAATGCTTTCAATTGCAAATATATAAATATTATTACAACCTACATTCAACGTATCAATAGAAGGATATGAAAATGCTGCTGAATAAACTTTTACGTTACGTGTATGATATACAACTGACATTTTTGCTGATTTTTTTAAAATTCAACCCAATTTCCCTGATTATTCCTAAAAAATTTTGCAGAAAACTGAATTCCCTGACTTTTCCCTGTCTTTCCTGATTTGCCTAATCTGGCAGACACCCTGAACCAGCATTTTACTTTTTTATATTAATCAGTAAAGTTCAAACTTGTTACAAAAGTTGGCGACAAGAAGGGTTCTACAATTGTGTGCTAATTGTATACTTATTGTATAATGATGCACACAATTAATGGACAAATTATAATTACAATCTGTACACAAAGGTTTTTTAATTTTGAATAAATGACTTTTTTATATTAAAAAATTATTAATCTTTAATAATATGAAACAAAGGAAAATAAACTGCCAATAAGAAATACTTGTTTCTTTGGTTAAAGCTTAATTGGCTTCATAAACCAAAGTACAACTACAATAATAAAATAAACTCCTGGTTGTTCGAACTGGCACTTATTCAAATTTCTTGCTTATTCAAAGCAATATTCATTCCCCATGAACTTTCCTTAACAAACTCATGCATATTGTCATCAGTTATTCGAACCAGCAGTTATTCGAAACTTTGTTTATTCGAAGTAAATTTTTGTCAGTTACTCAAAGTTTTCCTTCGGCTCAAGATACTACTGCATTGCATTTAGAAATATAATTATATCGAATGTAATCAATATATATGTATGTATATATGTAAAAATAGCGTTATCAAAATATCAAAAAATTGACCACCCTTTTTTAATAAACTCTCTTTGTTTCATACAAATTTTATAGTAAAAATTGATCAAAAATGTCAAATTATCAGTCAAAGATAAATATCTTTTAAAGATTGGAAAAAGATCAAACTAAAAAAAATGTAGCCGAAAAGTTTAATGTTCCTTAAAACACTTACTGGTATAAGCATTAAGAATACATAATCATTAAGATTCAGTCAGTTCGGAGCTGAGAGACAAAAGCATGATTCTGTTGATAAAAATTTTTCATATATTGTTAAGATTTTTTATTTATTTGTTTTTTTTAGAAGGTAAAGACTTAAACACCATCTTTTTAAAATTTTTTTTTTTTTACTTTCTTCTTCTGTTAAAATTTGATAGTAACTTGAAATAGGTCACTTTAAAAAAGATTGTCAAATATTCAAACTTTTGTTTATTTAAAGTAAATTCTAATTCCCCTAGGAGATTCGAATAACCGGGAGTTTACTGTATTTATCTTCCTTATGAGCAGACTGTTTGGAGATAAACTACCAAGAAATAATAGATATCTCTTGATAATAAGAATCTTCATTAACTTAGTAAACTAAATCACAGCTACAGTTAGAATATAAATATGTTTTGTATTATTTTTGAAGATTGTATTATACTTTAATTTATTTTATTTATTCTTATTTCAATTAGTGACTCTAATACTAAATTTCAATTATATTGTAAAATACTACTATTACAAAAATATAGACAGACTATAATAGAACTCTAATAGTCATAACTTTTAGTCAAATTACTAATAGTCATAACTTTTAGTCACATTACTAATAGTCAAAAAATTCATTAAATTAACTTTTATTTAAAAAAAAGTCATTAAATTAACTTTTATTTATTTTAACAAAAAATGAAGTTTTTTTTAAAACTTATAAATAACCAATATAAAAAGTTTGTAGAATTAAATTGTTTTAAAAAAATTATGAATAAAAAATTACTGTTTCTAGCATTGACCAAATTTGTATTAACTCTTTAAAGACAATTGCATGAATTTCTGCATCTTTTATTTCATTAATATTTCCCATTATACATAGTATTCTTTGCCACAATATCATGGAAGAGACTTTTGTCCAACCTTTAACATCACCACCATTAACAACACTGTTCTCCTCATTGTCATCTTCTTCAAAACTATCTTCTGAAACATTAATTGTGCTTGAATCTACTAAAAACACAATAAGGATTTCAAAAATATATAACATTAAATGTAATAAAATATCACTGGATTTCATATACTAACTCAAAAAAATATTGAAATACTGAAATAATGAAATATAACTACTTCAACCCATATATGTATAAATGTTTGTAAATTACTTTTTAGTAGATATGTCGGAATGGGATCATCAGGAGAACATTTTACTCCAAATGACATGATTATTTTGTAAATTTCTTTGCTTGGGATATAAGATATTTAGAGATTAGACTTATTAAGTTGTTACCTTGTTCTTCTTCTGAATCGGCTGTTGGTAGTGCATATTTTTGAGTTTTATCTAGTAGCTTGTTTACCAAGGAGAATAGATTTTTACTTGTAGTGCTTTTATCTAATTGGTTAGAGAAATATGTTGTTTTTTTTTATATAAAAAATTATTGTTGTTTTTTTCCTGAGGCGTCTTTATTTTTTTTTGTCACTTTCATTTTTAGTTCACTTAAACAAATTTTCTGCTTTCCTTTGTTTTTGCCTAAGTTGCGTATTCTCTGTCAAACCAAGGAGCTGTTTTGACTATTTTTATCCTTTTTGTTTTTAAAGGGGCTTGTTTCTGCACAATTTCTTTCACTATTTGGTTATATATGGTTATTTTGTCTTTCATATTTTCAGCTGATGATATTTCTGGTTTATTTCTTGATACTTAATTGTTAAAAGGCTGTCCACTGTTTTTATATTCCTGTATGTGATAGTATGGTATAACTTTTTTTCTATTTTAAAATCAATGAGAAAATGATCACTCAAATCTGTATCTATATTTACAAAAAAAAAAAAATGCGGTTGCCATGAGAGATCAATAGTTAATGATAAGCTATATAAAATAGAGGTTTCTGTAAGAGTATTGTTATTCTTCATATTAGAAATATCGACAAAACTGTGATAACTGTTTGAAGTAAATAACTAAGTTTTGCAGAAATAAAATTCACAACCCATTGCAAGCCCCAAACTGTTAGAGAATAAAAATAAGATTCAAGCTTCCTTTTCTAAGCAATCTTGAATCTGATCTTTTTAGCAAATTGACAACAAGCCATCAAAAGTGAAGACTTGTTGTCTAGACAAGATTATATAGTTGTGTCATCGGCAAAAAGAACCACTTTAGATGTAAGATTGTCAGGAATATCATTATAATAGATAAGAATCAATACAGGACCAATTAATGTAACGCTATATATAACTATTTATGTATATAAACAGCTGTATATAATTGTGTGTATGATATTTATGTATATAAACAGCTATATATAATTGTGTGATATTTGTGGGCATGTGTGTGAGTCAGTCTTCTCTGTTTGAAATTTACCGCCAGCGCATGAAAAAGCCCTGGCCGGACAGTAATTATTTGTCTGGTGTATGCGATTTTAAAAAGTATTTGTTTTTTTACCTCTTTAATAAAAATTTGATTAAGAAAAAAGATGTGTTGTAATTTAAAAACACGCTTGAAATTTTGTGGCAAGCGCTTAAAAAAGCGCCAGCCATAGTATTGGTTGGTGTGCGCAAAACTGTATGAGCGCAAAAGCTATTGTCAAAAGAAGAAGACTGGTGAGTATATAAATTACTTTGTTTTACTGTACAAAACACATTAACTATTATATATCAATTTAAACATAAATAAATATAAATAAGATTACAATAAAATTAAAAAAAAAAACTTAAGTACCTGCAGCAAATCTGACATGGGAAACAGTTACATTTATTGCACTTTCAAATTGCTCTTCTGAAATTTCACTTTGAGTAAAAGATGTTGGAGATTTTAATTCACTGAGATTGTCATTATCAATAAGAGAAAACTTGCGGCTTCCAACACTCTCAGCGTCTGCAGAGTGTTTTGATGATTCTTTGACAGCATCAATTTCAAAATTAATAAGATTGTTTTCTAAAGAAAGAGATGCTCTCGGCGAAGTAGTTAAATTTTCTGTTGATAAAAATAATTGCGAGGATTGAAAAAAATCTAGGTCATTGTTTGAAGTGACAGGATTCAACTTTTCTTCATCGTCTATACCAAACTCAAGGCTAACTAAATTTTGACTTGAATCGTTGAGATAACTGGAAATACTTACAAGACTTTCTGTCATATGAATATTTAACAACGAGAGTTCACTGTCGGTATGTCCTTTAAGTCTTGTATAAGAAATTTGCAATTCATTAGCTTTTTCTAGCTCCAAATCATTATCTAATTGATGTTCTTTGTGTTCACTTTTGCAATCTGTATCAGAATTCATTGAATTAGTTAAAACATTGTTGCTGCTTATACTGTCAAAACTTGATTGAGGGTCAATGTGCAAATCAGAAAAACTTGGACGAAAATCTAAGTTATAAAAGTACATTCACATATAACAAAAATTTTATGATTCAAATTTAATACTGAAATAAAATATTTTTATTGATTAGTTTTTAAAATTTTAAGAATTCAATAAACCAAACTATTATAAATATATATTTGAAATTATTAAAATGTTCAATGTACAACAAAAGCTTAATAATTCACGGGAAAAAAACACAAAAAAACTAACAGTTCTATTTGTGTTGAAAAATTTTTAGTTAAAATGCCAAAACGTAAATGCATTTACAACGAAAATTTCTCTAAAGAATAGAAGTTTATAAGAAAAGGCTGACATCAAGAAGAAGTTGATGACAAGAAAACATTTATAAATTAAACGAAAAATTAAATCAACAAAAAAGAAGAAAAAATGAATCTTTTAAAAGAAGAAAAGAAAAAGAAATATCTGAAAGAAAATAAGTAAAAAAGTAATGAAAATGGGGGTTAAAAAAAAACGTTTATGAATGAAATATATAAAAAGAATGGCAAGGAAAGAAAAAACACTTTTTAAACAGCAGAACTTCAATCGGCAAATCAAGATTTTTTTTTTTTTTTTCCCCATATATTTCATGGTTTTCATAGTTTTCGTTCATATATTTCTTGGGATTATTTATTTTATTATTTATTTATTTTTCTTCAGTTTTTTAGCGTATATAGTTTTATACTTAATATTTTTTGCTAGTCATTTGTTTTTGTTTTTAATTATTATTTATTTTTAGTGGTATATAAATTTTTTATTCAATTATATATTATTTGTTTTTATTTCCATTTCAGCCATTTATTAGATGTTTTATTTTACCGTGTATTTTTTTTTTTTTTTTTAAATCTTAAATTGTTTTTTTTTTTGTTTGTTTTTTTATTTTGCCGAAAATAATTTTTTGTTTTGTTCGTAATGTTTGTTGTAACTTTTGTTTTGTTTTGGTTTTTGCAGTGTTTTTCTGTTTATATTTTATTTATTTATTTGGTCATTATATTTGCAATATATTTAGATAATTATATTTTAACCACTATGATTATATTAATATATTTACTAAATCTATAATTTTTTTAGCAGTAGTCATTTTTATGTCATCGTTACACTTTGTCAGTTTATTACTGTTTGTAACTGTAACTTTGTAAAAATGATTGCTGTATAGAAAGTAATACCAATTTATTTAAATTATAATAATTACCTTATTATTATTATTGTTATTATTATTTTTATAATTATAATTATAATTATTATTATTGATATAATTATTATTATTTATATTATTATTATTATTATTATTATTATTATTATTATTATTATTATTATTATTATTATTATTATTATTATTATTATTATTATTATTATTATTATTATTATTATTATTATTATTATTATTAATACTAAGATTAATTGTATATATATATAAATTATTTTTTTAAGGTATTTATTTGAGATTAGTATTTCAATACTAATTGTAAAAAGCCGGTAAAATTTATTTTCAGAATAGATATGATGAATATAATTTATGTTAAAAAATTTTAAAAATAAAACTCAAAAAATTATATTACCGCTTTCAATATTTTGTTGCTTTATTAACTTTTTTGGTGAGTCAGTTGCAATTATATTTGATTCAAATGTGTGTAAGTCTCCAGGTTCTGAAGCACATCGTAAGATGCTTTTGTCTGCATTAGGTTTTACTTGTGAAAAATCAGTACTCATACTTGAAAGGGCAGAATTCCAAGTTTTATTAACCATTGGACTCTGATCATTAAGGATTTGAGATGGCTTATCATTACCAAATCTTTTTACTTTACTGCGATGAGTAAGCTTTTCAAGAGGTTGGTCTTGTAAGTCTATTCCATAAACTGTTTTTGTCATTACTCTTGTCAAAGTGTCCATTGTAGACTAAATTTACAAAAAAAAAATCATAAAATAAAAGTAAAAACAAATATTAAGATGGTGGTTCATTTTATAAAAACAAATATCAAAATGATAGTTCATTTTATAAAACTGCCAATGAATTTTATAAAATTACCTGAAAATTTATATGCAAATGCTTATCAAAACATGCTTTAGTAAGTGTATATATATATATATATATATATATATATATATATATATATATATATATATATATATATATATATATATATATATATATATATATATATATATATATATATATATATATATATATATATATATATATATATATATATATATATATATATATATATATATATATATATATATATATAAACTACTATTTAAGATGTAATTACATAAAAATCATAATTTTCAACAAAAAAAAAAAAAAATAGTTTTTTGATAGCTTTTATTATTTAATTTTAAAAAATTGGAGTGTATACATCAACTTGGAGTGTATTCATCAACTGATTTAGTCATAAGCAGAGTGTACTTACTGGAGTACAAAAATTGACCAAGGGTTTGGTTTGAACAAGCAGTCTACTAATTTAAAGAAAATATATTTTCAACTTTATAAAGTTCACCTGGTCTTCTTTTTTTATTTTTTAAATCTATAAAGTATACTTATTATGGGAAAAACTAAAGTTTATCAAGTGAGTTTCTATTTATTTGTATATATAAGAAAAAAAGATTCAAAAATTGATTTTAAAAAAGTGAATTTTGGAGGTAAAAGGGGGTGAGCAAACATATATATGCCAAGTTCAGTTGCAGCAATGAGACAAGATTGAAAGTAGTAGCAGTAATGCTGATAATAACTTTGATCTGCCGCAAACAAAGTTAACCAAAACAAGGCTTGGAAACCAATGTTCCCACTTCTAGTTTAGCTCAGTCATGGACAGGAAAAGCATGCAATAGCATTCCAGACCACGCATTTATTTTTTGTGACACCTTAACCATGGCTTTTTAGATTATTGCAAACACTTCAAAATTGTGCTAATTAAGTATAAGGTCCATAAATTTAATAGTTGAAAACATATCAAAGTTTTTTTTTTTGTTATGTTATGTAAACTTTCTAATAAAATTTGTTTTCACTAAGCTAAACGGTTTTAAATCAAGTTTTAATGCCATTAAATAAATTATAATAAAATATTAAATAAAAACTTTTATTTATTTTTAATGATGAATATATTTTTTTTTAAACAATTTGTATTCTTAATAATCTAATCTAAACGACGAAAACAAATGTATTTCAATAAACTTTTTTTAAAAACCTACTAAAAATTTTTGTATTAGGAGAATTTAAAAAAATAATTTTAATTTTTTAAATGCTTGATTAAAATTATTATTATTATTTTTTATTTGTTAATGTATTCTTTTTTTGATTGATATATAAAAATACATAAATAAATATAAAATAATCATATAAATATTTTTATTTAGACATGAAAAAAAAAAGATTTCTTTGCTTTCCTTTCAATATAAAAAACCAGTTAGAACTTCATCAAACCAACATGACGAGTTATTCAACCATAATGTAATTACAAAATATAATTAAAAATAATTTTTTATTAGAGTTTTAGTTTTTCAGACTTATATTAGTTAATTTAATTATCTAAAGAGCTGTGGTCAAACTTTCAAAAAAACCAAATACATGCGTTGGTCAAGAATGGAGTACAATCGCACGCCTTCCCTGTCAGCAACTGGTTTAGCTGCAGTATTAGACTGAACTAAGTCAGTGACAGGAATGCAGCATATATCATTGCAGCAGCAGAATTATTAGGATGCAGTCTTTTATCCTTAGCAATTAACAAGAAATCAATTAGAAAAGCTAGACACAATCACCATAAGCTAGCAGCTAAAGAAATACAAACTAAATCTAAACTATCTATAACTAGTTATATCACTGTTGGCAAAAGTAACTGCCACCATTTATGTTGAGTCACTCGAATGAAACTTTTTTTATTCGAAAGGATTTGTCATGCTAAGAGGCAAAAGGGTACAATTAATGGGTCTCTTGTCCCATTTATGATCTGCATTACAAAAATTACAAAAAAAAATGGAGACTTCATTCTAAATTTATAACTAGATGGAATATATTTATAATATAAGGCAAACTGCTGTAAAACTCTTTTTACAGCACTTGATTTTTGTTAAATCATGTACCATATACATACATATATACATATATACATATATATATATATATATATATATATATATATATATATATATATATATATATATATATATATATATATATATATATATATATATATATATATACATACATATATACATATATATATATATATATATATATATATATATATATATATATATATACATATATATATATATATATATATATATATATATATATATATATATATATATATATATATATATATATATATATATATATATATATATATATGGTTAGAATTCAATAAATACGGCTGCGTATAAACTTTTTTTAAATATATATTTTTTTTTTCTTTAATATATAATTATTTCGATATTTCGCTGATCTATTGTGATCAGCGTCATCAGGCATAATAAACAAAATAGTTACAAAATCGTTACAAAACAAACCATTAAAAAGATAACATTAAAAAGCCATAATATAATACAGAAAAAAAACTTTTCAAACAACTGACGTCAGCAGATTTTATTAAAAAATGGCCCCCAGGTTTTGGCTGTTACGTTATCACTGTCATTCCGATTGAGAACCACGGCACCATTTCTCAACTCCTGTTGAACCCTAGCCTTGCTTATTTCGAGTGACTCTCTGATTTTCCGAGTTCGATATTCTGGGGCTACAGATAATGTTTTGGGGTGCAACCAATCAAACTTACCATGGCATGTTTTAGAATGCTCAGTTGCACCCAAACTGGACCATTTTCCTTTTAAGCTGTTTTTTTGGTGTTCAATACATCTCGATATCACCTTCTTTTTAGTTTCGCCAATGTATATCGAACCGCATGAACATTTTAGCTGGTATACGCCAGGGTCTGTGTTTAGTGGTAGTTCAGTTTTATTGTTGTAGAAAATATTTTTTAAATTGGGAGTTGATGTGAAAATAACCTTTATGTTTTGGAGTTGATGTGAAAATAACCTTTATGTTTTGGTTCAAAAAACACCACATGAAATGTGGTGTTTTTTGAACCGTTTTTTAAATAGTCTATAGTAATATTACTATAACATTCTAAATAAATTTCAATTGTCAGTTTCATGTTATATTTTTTTAAAAACATAAAACATTTTTTTAAAAATTGTTTTGAAGACCGGAAAAAGTTTAAAAGCGCTTTTTTTTTAACATTTTTTTAAATTTTTTTACAGTCATGTCAGATTATCCTGCTACTGGCAACATGTAACCCAGTACAACCTGTTTTATGCCCTGCTGCTATGTAGGATACATTTTTTTAGGATAGGAGAAGTCAACTCTTTTAAGGCTAGGAGAAGCTAACTTGGACTTAAAACACCCCCTACCTTGAGGCTCTTGGTTGAGTAAAGGCTAGAGATGGTGTCTCAATAAAAATACTCATCTTGAGCAGACGTTAAATGCATCCAGCTACTATCTTCTAAAAGGTCTCATAGGCAAAGATTAAAGGGGTAAACAGATTCTAACTGTTAACCAGCCTCGCTGGTCATGTAAGGTTATTGGTCATGTAAGGTTATTTTTAGTAGCATGTTGATATAGTTATCTGAAAACCTAAACTCAGTATTCTGTGTTGTTCGAAGAAGAAGTACCCAGCCAATATCAAGCGCTCAAAAATTGACCTCTCTAGCTCTTGTAAATGTACAATTAAATATGGGAGTATCAAACAACGGATTACAGCCTAGTAGATAAAGATGGTCAAAGGCCATCTTTATCTACTATGCTGGCGTAGTTGTATTTATAATATATTGTTTCCAGCTTAGGATGTTGAATGCTAGACCTTTATTACTCAAAGCATAGGTTTTGCTTGTATCTCTCTTTATATGACTAGACAACTCATTCTATTATCTCATAATAAAGGTACAACTCAAAAACTCAGTTTTATAGTTCTAAAGCTGGCTAATAGTCAGGTTTCCTAAACTCTGAGGTAGCAGAATTTGGGAATATGGAAGTTTTATTTTTACACTTTGATATTTTACAGCTATTAATGGAATTAACCTCAAAGGTTGATTCCATTAATAGCTGTAAAATATCAAAGTGTAAAAATAAAACTTCCATTTTGCGCATGGATAGTGTCCCTGTTCATGCTTTAGGTGTAAATTGTCAAGACCAAATTTGAAACCCTTTTGCAATGGCTATAGGGTTTATTAATAGAAATGAGGCATTTGCTTGGACTATTAAATAGTGTATGAGTCTTATCTATGTTTTTAGTCAAATTCTTTAACAAATTTAAAAATGACTAAAGTTCTAAAAACTCTAAAACACAAAAAACCATCCTCGCCATTAACTCTCTAAACCTATCATTCACTAATATTTGTGGTCATCAAAGTAATTTTTTTTCTGAGTCTTATCTCTTGCTTCACCAGACCTACTTGCTCCTTGTGAGACTAATTTGAGTTTGGGGGTCTCATCTTGTGATGGAGTTGATAGTTATCTTACTTTTATTTGTAAAGACTCCAATTGTCACATGCTTGGCCTAGGCATTTACATTAATAAGAATTCACCCATTTGTTTGAAAAATAGATTTGAATCCACAGATCAAATTGACCAAGCCCTCTTACTTTATCCGTCAGCAATATTGTTGTTAGTGATTTTAATGCTCTTCACACTAAATGGCTGGGCTCTAATGTCAGTGACTATGCAGGCATTCAGACTCACAACTTTTGCCTTTCTTAATCTTTAACACAAATAGTCAACTATCCTACTCATTTTCTAGATAATTTGAATCAATTACTTTCTCTACTGGACTTATGTCTTGTTTATGATTATAGTCAGTGCTCAGTTTCTCTAAATTCACCCTTAAGTGCTTCTGATCACAGTT